AAGAGAGAATTAAAAAAAAAAAAAGAGGGTAGTTATTGATTTAAATTTTGATTTTTTGAATGTAACTACATATTCAAGTATATTTGGAATTCCATATAGGTGGTTTAATTAATGGAATCTAATTTTATTAGGGGATTAATTATGTCCTTAAGTCTCACTTATATAGATAGTTTATTAGGTCATTCCATATTTCTAATGCCTTCTAATTTTAATTAGCTATTGGGCCATTCCATATTTCTAATGCCTTTTCAATTTATTTATTTATTTATTTTTTTGGTTATTGGGCTGGTACATTGAGATTATTGAGGAAATTGCACCCTATATAATATTTATCACTTTTTATTGCAAGATTACCACATTCAAACCATTAATTGTAAAATTACTAAATATATAAAAAATAATTAATTGAAGTATGCAATTAATGGTTAGCGTAATTAAAGATAGTCTTTCTCTCTCCCCCTTATCTCTTCTTCTCCATTCTTCTCTCTCCCTCTCTCTGTTATTTTTTTTTATCGGTGAAATCCTTCCCCTCTTTCCCTCTCTGTTTTTTTCTTTTTCTAATTGGTGGAAGACGACAATGACATTTATAAAAAAACTCGACGCCTGGATCTGAAGTTATTTTCACTATATGTTCTGTATATGTATAAACCCATAAAATGGTATAGGTTCAGTATACATATGTTCGATATATGTTCTGTATATGTTCGGTATATGGTCAGTATACTTATATAAACCCCCAAAAATATATATATATAAACATCAGACCGAAAAAAAACCCAGAAATATACTACATATATACCAAGCATAAACTATAAATAAACACTAAAACAATCATATTGGAACAATCCACTACTAGCATCAGCCTTCTCAATTTGATGGTCTCGTTTCCGCTAGCAGGTCTTCCAGTCCACTGATGAGCCAACCCGCGTCGAAGTCCTCTAGACCTCGGTTGTCGGTCTCCGACCAATCGAAAAAAATATAGAAAAATTAAGTATACAAACAATTAGGTTGCAGCTTAACTCTAAACCTATGCACCATTGCAAAATTTAATTCACTTTCAAAAGATGAAACTACAAACAGAAGGACCTAAATTAACAACACACACACACAAAAAAAAAAA